CGCGTTGCGACACAAGTCAACGTTCGAGGATTCAAGATCCACACCATTCAACGTTTGACGATTCGAAACCCTAGGGTCGACGCCGGTCAACGCGTAACCCTAGGTCAACGCCAGTCAACGCGTTGCGACAAAAAGTCAACACACGGTGATCCGAAACCCTAAGCCAGCACAATGTGGCGGAGGTAGTTCAAAGTCAACTCAATGACACAAGCCAAACTCAATTCATCAGCTGCAAACTCGAGACTCCGACGACGGCCAAGCGATAAACGCGGTGCCGGAAGAACTTCGGCTATTCGTTTTCTCAAAAAGTGTGCAACCAAACAGCCCCTAATATTATATTAATGATTTTCTAAGGGGCATTCATGGGCGCTCATTAGGAGATGAGAAAAATATAGCGAAATGAATAAATTCAAAATTTGAACATATGACCTTGTCAAAAAGGTAAACATACTATCCTCCAGTTACAAGTCCTCCAATTAAACTTTGTAGGCATCAAAAATTGCCTATAGGTCTCCACAAACGGTTCAGTGTTAAAGAGCGACGATGAACGTCACTATCCGATCCACAGGAGTTCAATTGACGTCGACGAACGACTGAAGTGAATCGACGAGCCACGTGAGTTTATGTTCACAAAAAGGACAACGCCCTTCGTGCCTCGACCACTCTACAGATAATCCAACCATCGAAGCGGATCGAACTCTTCGTCACGCATCCAACGCACCCGGAATCACTCAAATCCGAGTCCGGACGAAGAATCTACAGGGAAACCAACAAAACACCTCAAATGGAGTCCCGGCAAGTCGAAACACCCCGGGGGTGTCTAGGAAAAGCCTAGACACCCCAGGGGTGTCTCGGCCAAGCCGAGACACCAGGGGGTGTCTAGGCCCCCTAGAGGCTCCCACGCCTATAAATAGCCCCCTTAGGGCCTTGGTTTGAGGGGAGGATTTTTGGAGACCCTTGGCGAAGCCCTGCTGCAGTGAAGAGTGGTCGTGCGCTTCAATAAGGAGAGGAGAGGTCTTCATCAGAGCCTTCATCACCCGTTCCCGTCCGATCCTTAGTATTAGCCCTTGGCGTTAATACTAAGAAGAGCTAATATCTCGCTTTAGCCGAGATAGACGCTTAAAGCTTCTAGATCTCACGCGGATCGACGAAGTTCTGCTTCTATATCCCTTCGCGGATAGACGAAGCTCTTCTTTTCCTTAGTATTGCCCCTTAGCGGTGATACTAAGTAGAGCTGGTGTCTCGCTTTAGCCGAGATATAAGCTTCATAGCTTCTTAGATCCCCCGCGGATCGACGAAGCTCTGTCCGATTTTTGACGAGGTTCTGCTTCTATATCCCTTCGCGGATAGACGAAGCTCTGCCCGATTTTCTCGGAGCAGATCTGATTGCCCGGTGGTCCACGGATATCAACGTCCCCGTCACAGGCCAAAGACCCACGCAAGCAAGAGATGACAAACGGATCTTGCGTTTGTTTGAAAAGAGTTGTATTTTTTTTGTTTTCATTGTGCAAGGGTCTTATAAAAAGGCTATCTTTTTGTTTCATTGTAACGATTGAAGTTGTAATGAATGCAGCAATGAATACAGCAACTTTTTCCGCAAACAAACTTGAGCCAAATCATTATCTCATTCCAAACTGTCATAGAAAAACAACATTCAAAAAACAGATGTGTATGGCAATAGATTAAGAGTGAGAGGCTTCAAATTGAAAGTGAAAAGAATGGCTCTTTCAGCAGTGGTATACAACATTTGGAAAGAACGAAACAATAGGATCTTCAACTCGAAAAACAGAGCCCCTGAGCAGATTGTTAGAGACATAAAGATTGGCATGGACACTGTCATCCTCAACAATCCTCAATTGCCAATTGAAGACAGGGATTGGTTCCTCTCCCTGTAGATTTTATTACAAATGTTTTATACTTTTGTTTCTTGATTGTTTTTAGCTACCAGATTTCATGAAAATCTGTGTAATTTGATGTACTTATCTCTACAATTTTGGTTTGTGAATAAAATCTTTCATTTACCAAAAAAAAAAGTACTATGGGATAAAAATATTCCAAGAAGATGCCTAGATACCATTAAGCTCTTAACCAGGAAGCCGTTTCTATCTCATGAAAGGATAAAAATTTCCGAACCAAAAATACTGAGGATACGGCAAAGTTGCATTCTACATGAGTGTCATGTTTCTTAGGATTGCTCTTGATTATTCTAGAGATTTCGTTCATTAAAAAAAATTGAGAACCAACAAAATTCGTTAACAAGAGACACCTGCACTATTCTTATTGTTACTATTTATGCAATTAATTATCATCTAATTTCTGGTTAACTTGAAAAATAATTTTACTTCTACACTACAAAAGACAAACCTATGGGGTTCATTCTCTTTAATATTTTTCAAAACTGATCGATGACTCATGAAAAGAGACCAGACTTCTCTCTCTTGTAGTGTAGAAGTAGTGTATCAGAGAATAGTGTAGTTATCATTATTTATTGATGATATAGTAAAATATCATTTAAGATTCTAGTTTGTGGCAGTCCTTAAATTAAGTTTCCACATAGTTAATAGGAAATATATAGTTATACTCAATCCTAATACTTTAAAGTTCCCTAACAAACAATCATATAATTAATAAAGTGTTTTTGTAATAAAGAGGAATGATGACCGTACTAAAAACATTATACTACTTTTATACTATCACAAATAAATGAAATGCTACCCACTGTGCAGTAACATGGACAGTTTTGAGAGGTTTCAATATGATTTCCATCACCTTGGGTTCGATTCCGGAATGAGTTATTAAAGAGAAATTGCTTTCTTGAGTGGAGTTGAGAAATATTCCAAGTTTAATCAAGAGAGGCATGTAGGTATATATCAGTCAATTTCAAACTATATAAGTCAATGGCGGGCGTGACACGCACTGAGAATCTTCTAAAATCTTCAAGGAAAGCAAATGGGTTGGTATCGATCACCATTAAAGCTAGCAATGGAATCAAGAAATTGGTCGACTGTGGTCATAGTCTTGGCTGCTAAGCACTTGATTAACAAATATCAGATATCAACAATAATCAAATATCACGACTACTATTCAATAATATCAGTGAAGGTAGTAGTCAAAGTAGAGCATCATTTTGTCCCCCTTCCGGTTTTCATTTCTTTCCCTTATCCGGTTTTTTTATTCTTGATGTTTAGACCTGTGGCATTCAGTCCATAGACTAGATAATCTAAGAAAAAACATAGAAACTTCCTCAAATTAACAGTTGAAGGGAGATAATTTACAAGCATGATACTACGTACTGATGGTCATATATATTCTTTTTTCCTAATTTTTCCTTCTTCCTGACATTTGAAGGACTTAGAAGACTATGAAACTGAGACAAGTTTTTACGGGCAAGAACATTGATCGATGGATCGAGAGATTAGGAGGAAATTTCGCGGCAAAAGAGTAGCAATTAAAGAAGTGACAGCAAATTGGTCCCGTTAATTCCTTCATATATATTTGACTTGCGCGGTTCAAGGGTCATCTTCGATCTATAGAATCACCATAAGATGAAAAGGAGTCTATTTTCCGTAGTGAAGTCATCGGTCATCTTTGCGACAATATTGATATACTTGGCTAATTTGGCACCATAAATGCTATATATATATATGTATTCCTTTTCTTTTCTCTATTAATTCTTTATTTCTCTTCTATATGCATACAGATTTCATACCAATATATCTTTTAGCTAGATACTCTAACAAGATCAAAATATATCTTATTCCACGATGGACTACAGCTCCTACGTGTCCGCTGAATTCTTGGGCATCTTCGTACCCACAATCATGTACTGGCTTCTCTCAGGAGCCTACGCCCTATTCGCCAACACGAAGAAGTACCGTCTGCATCCCAAAGGGGAAGAAGACATCAAAAACATACCCTCAAGAAGTGAAGTCATCAAGATCGTCCTCCTACAACAATCAATCCAGATCTCTGTAAATCTCATCCTCTTCATGGTATGCGTTACTTCATAGGATAATTTACTTCTTACGAGCATAATTCGACGAATGATGGCTTCTAATTAATTTTGTTCAACATATCGCAGTTCATCTCAGACAATTCGGATGCTATCAAGCCCGAGCCCCCCTTCTTCGTGCGATTGATCCAATTTATCTCTGCTATGGCAATCATGGACACATACCAATACTTCGTCCACAGATTCTTACACACCAACAAGTTTTTATACAAACACATCCACTCCAAGCATCACAATCTCCTAGTCCCATACGCGTACGCAGCTTTATATGCTCATCCTTTCGAGGGATTTATCCTCGACATAATTGGAGGAGGCTTGGCTTGCTTGCTCTCAGGCATGACCCCTTCGACTGCTGTCTATTTCTTCACGTTTGGTACTATGAAGACCGTTGATGATCACTGTGGCTTTATGCTCCCCGGGCACCCCGTGCACGTTGTGCTTGAGAATAACAGTGCTTATCATGATGTGCATCATCAGCTGTATGGAAATAAGTATAATTTCTCGCAGCCTTTCTTTGTGACTTGGGATAAGATCATGGGGACTTACATGCCGCATAAGCTTGAGAAGAGGGAGGATGGAGGATTTGAGGCTAAGCCTTTGAAGAAAGAGTGAAGGATTCTTGCCTACTTAATAAGAAGAGATGTATATGATATGTTCTATGTTAATTGTTGCTGATACTTTTCGTATGGAACTCAGCATAATATAGTTTGTAATATATATCATAACTAATTTCAGATGAGTTATTAGGTTTTTCACTATTCTACTTATCTTGGAAGATTTACATAAACAATTATATATACACGCAACTCAGCTGAAGCTTGTGTCTCTAGTTAAAATCTTTGATTTTTGAACCAAATTTTCAGATTTTGTGCTGCTTAATTTTTCATGAACAAGAAGCTCATGAGCTCCCGTTAAAGCTCTTTGATATATTAATTCGCAGACATCGGAGCCCGTGTGTGAGGAACAAACGAGCCCAGAGCTTCAAATTTCTAGCCCTGTTCCGGTTCTGAGCACTGACATATACTCCGGCCTAAACTTACTTTTATGGGCTACAGGCCTATTATATCTAGAGATGGGAGTTTCAATCATTTATAATCAACTAGATTATGTTTTGAAGCGACACTGTAGTTGCCTAATATCAGATTTATGTGGTAAGACAAAAGCATCCAGGTAGAAGAAACTACAAAATCTAATCTATCTAATCTAATACTACTCTAAAAGTGTGAAGGATGTTAAAACCTTTTTCCGAAAAATACCCTCATTGCATGTACAATTTGTTAAAGTGCTTTTTATATAAATGTTCATGCATTTTATTTAATCAACTTATATCATTAATCCTAATAAAGCATTACTAGAATGCTTTGTTCCTTAACTATTTTTTCAATAAGATATCTACTGGCCCTAGGGAAATTGCAGATTATGAAGGTTTCTTAAAGAACTTAATTGAGTCAAATTGATATTTACATTATTGATGTGCTGAGACATTATAACAATATATAATAGCTTTGAAACGCATGCATCTTGGCCTGCTTCGGACCAGTCGGCTTAAATTATAACCAAGATAGACACACCTGAAATGTCGCTCGACTCGACGAAATCGGAACTTTTATAATTTTTTATGAGAAATCTTAGTACAGTACGTTACGTAAATCTCCGTGTTTAGAGAATAAGAGAAGGGGGAAAAAAACTAAGTAATCAGTTACATATAAGTGATAAATATTTATTAATAAAGTGCATTTATAATAAAAACTCGATGCTAAAGGTCAGAGGAATAGAAGAAGATGACTACTTAGCTAGAAAAACACAATAAATGGGGAAAGCTAAATTAGAATTGATTTTTTTTTTTGTTTGAGATCATTCTACATTAATTTATTATAAAAGAGTTTATTTTAATTGTTGATTTTCTATATGATATTTAGATATACCTACGTGCAACGCACTAGATGAAGACAAACATCTCTCCTTGATCTTGTTTTGAAATTTAGAAGCTAGTTTGAAATTTCTGATCCTCTTTGTTAAAGCTTCCTACCTTCGGACAGAAGTAGGTAGGCCAACTTTTAAGTAGTCAAAATTAATCTTAATTCCACGGATTTTCCACATCATTGCACCCTCGCTTCCAAAACTAATTTCCACCTTATCGCTCATTTGCTTTAAAGCAGTCTTCCTCAAAAACTGACAAAAGTAAGGTAATCAAGTCAATATCTTAAAGGAAAAAGTAAGTAAAAAAACTTAGAATTTCTTAGGATGACCTAATGAAGGCCACGGTCAGAGAGTCCTGGACAACGGTCTTGTTCTCCCCCCCACTAGTAAAAAGATGTCCAGTCTCAACGGTTGTGTACAACCGTTAGGGCTGGATTTATCAGCCCTAACGGTTTAAACCGTTGGGGCAAGTGTATTTATCCTACACAACCAACGGAGGGAAATTTCCCCACATTAATTTTCGCGAAAAAAAAAAGAAAAAAACAAGAATCCCCCCATAGGACCTCGCCGCCTCTCCTCCTCCTCATCTTCGCCGGACCTGACTTGTAAGTCCTCTAACCCTAGTTTCTATTTTGCAGATTCTTGTCGATGTATTTTCTGGTCTCTTCACTTTATCTATTTCTGTGGACTTGGAATGAGCTTTCCTCAATTTTATTGATTTTAGGTTTAATTGCAGAGTGCCTCCAGTACTAAAGTTGTTTTACCGCTTATTAATCCTGAACTTTTTTATTAGAACTTTGATCCCTAATTCCACGATGGAGTTATCTTCCCATTATTTGTATTCATGACTTCAGTTTGATAGTCATGTGTACAGATTGCAGGAATTAATTGCTTAAATATGTTGTCAACCTTGTGTTGCATGTCACTAATTCACTGTCATCCTTGTGTTGCATCATGCTGTCCCTTGCCTTTAGGTTTAATAATGTAGAGAGAACATTTAATTAAGAAACAAGGACATGTGAGTATTGGCTAAAAATATAGGCTCTATTTATAGTCCAGCTAAAGTTTATACCCATTTTTACAAAATTCAATAGTGAAATCTTCAAGTTCCAAACATCTTGACAGTAAACAATGAAAATGTTCCTCAACACGGCCCACTGCCAAAAAACTAGGCATCCTAGACGGAAAAATCCGTCTAGGATACACAGAATTCCGTCTAGGATGTCTATCCTAGACGGAATTCCGTCTAGAATACCCGTCTAGTTTGTTTCCGTCTAGGATGCAGTATTCTAGACGGAAATTCCGTCTAGAATACATCCTAGACGGAATATTCTAGACGGTATTCAAAACCGTCTAGAATACATCCTAGACGGATTATTCTAGACGGAATTTCCGTCTAGAATAATTTATTCTAGACGGAAAAAGTTTTTTTTCTTTTTTTTTTTTCTTTTTTTGCAGAATCTACTCTCAGACGTGATGTACACAGTAGTTGACAACCAAAAAATTACTATCACTACCTCCAACAGAACTTCTAATTATATAATCCCAATATCAATCTCATTTATACTTCAAATAAATACATTCACAAAAATTAGGTACGAGAGATACATATAAATTGTTCTACAAACTTTTACAGAATACATCAATCTGCAGTGATAGCATGTATTTCTTTCAAAATGGATTATTGACGCTCCTTGGACAACTCACTCTGGCGACTTTTCCGTGGCTCTTTCTTTTTCTTCAGATGAGATCTATGCGGTGAGCTTCCTAATCAGCAGCTTCGACACCTTTCTTTCTCCTTCGATGAGGATGATCTTCGCTCTCGGGAAAGATGTCCCGTCAAGCGGCTGAGTCTACTCTTTGGGATTTTAGCCTTATCCGCCAATAAGTTGGGCCATCAAGATCTGTGAGTTTATTAATGGTGGTCTCTTGCCTATGCATCTGAGCGATTCGCTTGTGATCAGATCCAAAGATCGTCCTTCTGCTCATTTTCCAGAGGCTTCACCTGCATATAAGCAGATCTCTCCGATCGATGGTTTCAACAGTGGCAGCTGGACAGGACTTGTATTGATACCCACTATATGTCCTGGCAAATATATAGTCATTGTCAGAGATGACAATTCCTTTTAGCCATAGCTTACTTCTGTTGATAGTCGACTTGCGGGCTCTCTTGAGAAGCTTTTGATGCCGAATATCATGACAAACGACTATGACTATCATCCGTTGGTGTCCCGAGTTGTGTCTTGAGTGCTAAATATCCCTTTCAACTGCAGTACTCCCTTTATAAGCCAGTCTAGGGCCGTGATTACTTTATCCCGCATACTTCGAAGCTAGAAAACTTGATGAACCTCCTCTGCGATCACTATTGGATTAAGTAAATCTCTAACAAGTTATTACCATATGTCTTTGAATTGACACATCCGCACAGTTTTTCTTCTTTGATGAAAACGTCATCACTTATTGGTAGGGAGCTGAGGTTGACCAATAGTTCATAATCAGGTCAACACCACTTTCTTCCGGTGTCCAGATGCGCAACATTAGGATCCCGAGAGGACCGCAGAATAAGTCGTCACATGACAGGTGGGAGTGACTTATTGCACTGTCTTTTGTTAGACCGTGAGGAGGCCGTGATTAGGTCTTAGGTAGCTATATTAATTCCTTGGTTCCTATCGCCAATTAAAAACTTATATAAAAAATGTATTCTTACCAACACAACTAGATATACAATATATCGATGAGCAAATCATGAAAATATGCAATATGAACAAAGAGATATATCTAGCCAAGAGGTGAGTACTATGATAAAAATTATATGCGATGACTGGGAGTAGAGAGTTAGTATGAGTTAAACGGGCGGGGTGGGCAGGCGGAGAGGGTGGGGCAGAGAGGAGGGAGTGGCGTGGGGGGGCTTGAGAGCGAAGGTGTGAGTGATGAGATAGGATGAGAATGGGCGTAGGAGGTTAGTAGGTAATTAAGCAAGCTCGCAAGGACTGATGCGGACAAAGTGAGTGAAATCAGAGTGAGTAGTGATGAATGCGAGCGCATGGTGCCGCGGTAAGGATGAGGGTGTGGGGTTCTCTCCGTTCCATTCACTGACGACGAGAGGTGGAGAGTGTGGCGTCTATCGACACGGGGGGTGAAACATGGTCCTGGAGACGGTGGGCGCGCGAGCGAAGCCACTATTTGAGAAAGTCACGGGATCGCGGGCTATCTGAGGTAAGGCCCCTGGTTTGTCTATTTCACGGTCGGCGGGATGTCAACGTCTGTCTCAGAACAGCTCACACTCAGGGTTTTCGCTAATAGCTTACGAAGACGGTGATTCTCGATTATTCACTCATTGCAAGGCTATAGAGCCTCTAAAGAGTGTCTTAGTCGGCTGTCCTAGGGTTGAGGATTAGCAAGGCCTGCTCGGTCTGGGAATTACCACCTACTGCACTCCTCTTGGGACGCCCCCGTCTTCACCACACTCCTCTCGACGAGATATATTAGAGATACATAGGTACAAGTTTAATTCACAAGGTCTTGATCTACACAAAAGGCTCACAAATTAAAGAGCAGACTAGATAAATTATTTTGTTCGTTACTTGTTATCCTTTTCTTACGTCGTTTGAAGGTGATCAGAGAAAGAGGAAGAAGAAAACGTTAGGATCAGACGGTCAATAGAGCCTCCTATCCAATTTGTTTACAACCTCCCACACCCAATAAACTATACAATGTACAAATCACAAGAGCTCAATGCGTTGTGTCGTGTAGAGCGAATGGAGGGCCAATCAAATCATACTACTCGACATGTAACAGCGATAGTAGGGCTGCGGGTGCGAGAGGCAAGATGAGTTGAAGCAGGAAGCGAATAAGGTGAGGTACAAAAGGTACGAGGATAGTTGAAGGTTTAGAATTTATTCTCTAAAAAACAAAAGATGGAAGAGAGTGGATATGAAGTGACAGGGCTGCAAAAGCAACTGTTGGAGATGATTTCCGGGACAGTCACTTAGCCAATGAATACAAGCAAGTCTTACAAAAACACGCAACAACTTATAACCAATTAAACCTTGCTAAAACTCTTTATAAAACTTTGGTTCTTTCAAATAAACATCCATATTCTTTATCTTTAGTTTTAAGTAGAATGTGAATATTTGGGGAGGGAGAGGTATTAGTGATAAGAGCAACGCTCTTCAAAGCTCCATGACAGGAACAAACGGCAAACTAAGACCCAAGAAACCCAAAAACAGTACAGTCTGGAAATATACCGTTACGTGTTATTAGTCGACTTTGGTACTGTTCCATGAGTCAACTCTAAGTAGCCGTTACAAGCCTAACAACTTATGGGTCGACTCATTAAAATTCGAGGTGGAGTCGATCATCATGCATGGTCCGATCATGAAGTCAATGGTCGATCTCAGCAGAGAAGGCGAAGAGGAGCACTTCTCCGATTTGTTTGTGAGTCGACCTCATATGCAGGCATGGGACTCAACCTGATAGTCGGACTCATTGAGTGTTTTTGGGTGGATGTGAGGTACTGGCGGAGAACAAATATTAAGAGCGTAGGCGGGCAACAGTTTGAGCGAGGGTCAGTCAGACTCAACACTGTTCATGATGCGACTCAAGACGATGCACAGCTATGTTGGTTGAAACAGAAATTCTGATTTTCAAACTTCTTTTAAAATAGTAAATAAAATCAAGAAAAATATTAAACTTTGGAAAAATTGATTTGTTAAACATGTAATACATCTACTAAAACTGGTTTTCAAAAAGGACCTCCCAAATGAAAAATATCATTTCATTTTGCAAAATGAGTCCAAAATATGAAAATGTAAAACCATTGAGTTTTAAACTTTTTAGCTTAAGCCATGTTTTGAAACATTATAAAATATTTTGTTAGACTTATAAAAGTGTATATGATATTGTAAGTCCAAAACTGAGAATACAATATTTTCACAAATACAAGTGAATATGAAACATATGAAGTATGTATCCATGAATATATATTTGTTTCATTATCTATGAATCTAAACCAAACCAACTTATCCACGTAGAAACAACATGTACTTGAATATAAATATTTATTTAATGCCCATTGGTTAAAACTTTGTTTTGTGGATAAGCACCACAAAACCTAAATTGTAGATCGATATAATATATGTAAGTAATATATATCTTTAGACGGCGGTTGGTGTAGTGTCATAACGCCATAAAGGAATGAAATCTATGTTGTTTGATTATAGTAGCTTAAATACACGATATACCAGAGACACACATAATAAATAACTCCTTTTCCTAACACTTAACTTACCAAGCTGGCCAAACACACACCCACCCACGCACACATACACCCACAGAAAGAAACGAAAAGAAAAGACAGCACAGACAACTACAACACAATACACACACATATCAAAAGATGAGGGATGGAAGGAAAGTTCTTCGAACTGGTAGGACATGATAGTGCTGCAAGAAATCTTAAATACCAGTTTTGCTACCAGCATTATAGTTATTCACTTATTTTCATGCCGCATTTAGATCATACATAATGCAAATACTATTCGGCTCCTCAGTACTCAGTTGTGCTTGTACATGCAAATATTCCTCAACAGAAGCATCTAGATCCCCATCCTTATTGTCTCCCATAATTTCAGAGCGAAACAACAATGACCTCGAGACATTTTGAATTAGTGAAAGAGAATTCCCCATACGTGAAAATCGATCAATTTTTCAAGCTAAGGAATATGAAAATTGATCAATTTTTCAATATTTCTGAATTAGTGAAAGAGAATTACAACTCAAAAGTCAAAACTGATGTCTGTGACAACAAAGTAGCATTTAGTATTTGAAACATAAAAAAGAAAAAAGTGTAACAAGAAATGCCAGAAGATTATAAAAAGTTAATTCCCCATACGTGTCTTTGTAATTCCCCTTCGTATGAGGCATTACTCCCATCATTGCTCCCCTGTAAATCGTGTCAAGCACCCTTCTTATAATATACTTCCTTAGATATGAACTGAGAACCAAGAACTTATGCAAGTGTTGAGACTAGTACCTATGATCAGTTTCAGATCCAATCTGTAGCTTCTGCCACTTTGATCTTCAAGCTCCATATCAAAGTCCTCTATGGGAAGTGAACCAGAATTCGTATGCCTCTCGGTCAATGCAACTGCATCAGCCCTGGTTAAGAGTAACAAAAGTAAGCAGTTGGTTTTAGTGCGAGCCTACCATGAAAGCATCAGCATAGTATCTAACATAAGATGTTTCTTTTGTAAACTGAAACCTTCCATTCATTCTGTCATAGAAATAATCTTCGTACAAGCAACAATTTCCCTAAGCAATTTGATAAACTTAAGGAAAGCTTCACCAAGGACATTTCTACCACAAAATAAAGTCAAACTTGCATCATTTTATGAGTCTCACTAGGTATGTCTCAAGCAGAGAAACACACAAATTAGATGTATATGCTTGATGATTAAAGAACTTGAAAGACAAGAACACAACGAGGCATTCAACACCATGTATGCTCTAAGCATTCACAGTCGACATGAGTGCTATACTTATTGGTGGTGAAAAATACATAACACGTGCGAGTTCCTTTACGCGATGTGTTATAACTTTGTCACTCGTTGTGACTAATCATCTATTAAGAAGATTAATGCAAAACAAGGCAAAGTGTATCCATTTACAGAAGAACTATAGTATCTGGGGGTAGTGTTCTAACTGCTTAACAGTGTAATCAAACACGACGAACAAAACTCATCTCATAGCTGGAAATTCTTCATATCACTAGCAATCGTCAATTGTCAATAATCATCTAACAAGGAGGTTCTCACAAACAACAACAATCTACAACACACAATATGTATAATTAATTACATAAAGAAATGGCCTTTGTATCAAAATTCCCAACAACTTCAATAATATAATTGATACCCATAAATCAGATAAACCTTCATATCATTCTAATCATCCAATAACAATAATCATCTAACACAATTAAGCTAAAAATTCAAGAAATTCCCTGAAAACCCAGAAACCCACTAATAAAAAGAACTCACTTTAATCGACTGAGCTCCGACGATTGCTCCGCCTCCGACGCCGGCACTTCATCAAGGGCTTTGCCCTCATCAGGGGACGCAACAGAAGCAAGAACTCTGGAGTTTCTCTTGAGCCCCAGTTGGGCTAAAAATTGCCCATCATCGCAGTCTTTCAATGCTCCACCCTCACAAATCAAATTCACGGTGGATCCCGCAGCGGCGGCGGCAGATCGCCGGCGGACTTCATCCCTGAGCATGGAGAGCGTCCACGTGTCCAGATGGACGTCGAGGGCGCCGGACCAAGCGTCGACGATCTTGAGGCCGTGGAGGGAGAGGGAGTAGAGGGGGAGGGAGGGGTCGGGTGAGGTTGAGGAGGGAGAGGGAGAGGAGGGGGACGCGGTGGAGGGAGGAGTAGGAGGGGGTTTCCTGAAATGAAAACAAATTTGGGGATGAATTATTCGTTTTAGGGGGGAAAGGAAGGCATTCGCGGGTTTATTGGCTGAATTTTTAAAAAAAAACTGTTCTATGTATTCTAGAGACGGAAATTTCCGTCTAGGATACTATTCTAGACGGAAAGGGGGTGAGGTTGAGGAGGGAGAGGTGGAGGGAGGAGTAGGAGGGGGGTTCCTGAAATGAAAACGAATTTGGGGATGAATTATTCGTTTTAGGGGGGAAGGGGGAGGGGGCATTCGCGGGTTTATTGGCTGAATTTTTTTAAAAAAATTGGTCAATATATTCTAGACGGAAATTTCCGTCTAGGATACTATTCTAGACGGAAATTTCCGTCTAGAATACCTGGTTATTTTTAAAAAAAATAAAAAAATAAAGAAACCGTCTAGGATACTATTCTAGACGGAATTTTCCGTCTAGAATGTTTTATTCTAGACGGAATATTCTAGACGGAAAATTTTCGTCTAGTTTAATACATTCTAGACGGAAAAAATTCCGTCTAGAATATTCCGTCTAGAATATGTGATTTTCTACTAGTGGCCGCATGAAATAAAAATAATTCCTTAGCTGACCACGAAACTTGAGATAAAACTTCATTGTAACTGGTAGTCGGTGTTAGATTTTTGCTATATTCTTTTACTGCTTGAAATGTAACTGGTAAGCATATATTATGTGAAAATTGCTGTCAAATAAAACAATATTAGGTTAACTGAAAATAAATGAGTTATGAAAATCAGGCCTGAACGGGGTGCAGTCGTGATACACTGCCCTAGAAGATAGAGGACCCGCCTGTCGCCCTGGCGTAGTTGATCCTCCCCCCTAGCGGTAAAAGCCCCCCGGAAACGGCCGGCCTCTCTACTCGGGCGCGAGTAGCAGAGCTTCTGCTCAGATGAAGATGTTGCCCAATAAAATAATCCGCAAAAATATGTAGCCAAATATCTGAGAGTAGAAGGAGGAAGAGAGCTATGAAATTCTTTGTGAATTTCTGTGTGTTTTCCCGAATGAACTCTGCCTCCTTATATAGCCTCATGAACCAGTAACCGATGCTGAATCTCCTCGTCCGTTGGGCGTAAATCACGCTTGCCGTTACATAATAAATGTAAACAGCAAGTGAAATTTCTATCTTCTAGATTGTTTCAAATAAAACAATATTTAGGTTATACGTGAAAATTAAATGAGTTATTGAAAATCAGGCCTGAACGGGGTGCAGTGGTGATACATGCCCTAGAAGATTAGAGGACCGCCTTCGCCCATGGCGTAGTCGATCTCCCCTTAGCGTAAAAGGCACCCGGAAACGCCGGGCCTCTCTACTCGGGCAGCGAGCTAGGCAGAGCTTTTGCTCAGATGCAAGATGTTGCCCAATAAAAGTAATCGAAAAATATGTAGCCAAATTCTGAGAGTAGAAGGAGGAAGAGAGCTATGAAATTTTGTGGAAATTTCTTGTGTTTTTTCCGAATGAACTCTCTCCTTATATAGCCTCATGAACCGTAACTCTGCTGCTGAATCTCCTGCCGTTGGGCGTAAATCACGCTTGCGTTACATAATAAATGCTGCGGGCGTTAACAGAACGTGTAAAAAGGTGCAAAATTAAAAGCTTGAGAAGCAAAGGGTGTGCGTGTGCGGCCTGCGTGCGTGGCGTGGCAAGCGCGTGCGGGCGAGGCGAGGCGTTGCGTGGCGAGGCGAGGCGAGGCGTGGTGCGCGCGCGCGCGCGTGTGTGGTAGAAACGGCAAAGCCCACAAAACACTAACAAAAACTATTCAAAGCCCCATTGAGAAGTAAACCATTATAAACCACTTGAACTTCTTCTCAACTTCCAATGTGGGACTATTCACAAGGCAAAATTGCCTTTTCCTTAAGAAATGCTAACAAAAATTTCATACACATAATAAATATTTGATGCACTAGACATGTTTCACATTTATGAAAATTGTGATTAAATTTAAAAAGTAAATAAAATTTATTTATACCAAACTATATAGTTTTTATAATTTTCTGAAAATTAGTGCAAGCGTGCTTTAGGTATCAAGTAAATATGAGAGGTTTTCTATTGGCACTAAAGTCCAAGCTGTTTGGAGTGAAGATGGGGAGTGGTGAGTAAGAGTTTATGATTAAGTTGGATAAATTTCGAGTTGTTTTCTTTTGTTGATTCTGTGTTTGATTGGTTGAATACTTAGGTATGATGCGACCGTCGAGGCTATTACTTCTAATGGTTACCATGTTGCCTATGATGGATGGGGAAACAAGGAGGAGGTATGTTGGATAATGCGTTTTTTAATAAGCCATATCTTCCAAGAAAGTCCGTCTGTATTTTAATTAAATTTGTCAATATCTTACACTAGTAAAATAAGCCATATCTTCCAAGAAAGTCCGTCTGTATTTTAATTAAATTTGTCAATATCTTACACTAGTAAAAGGATGCTCATCCCCTCTAAAAAGCTCATCCTCTTCTTAGACTCATATCGTGAAAGTAATTAGATTTTCAATGCTTTAAAAGAGTAAACTACCTAGTAACTAATTGTTTAAATCATTAGTGCAAGTCGACGACTAAGTGTAGCCTTAAAAAATGTCTAAGCTGTGGGAATTTTTTTTACCAATATTCTCACACCTGCAGTTCATTTTTACAGGTCAAACTGATGCTAATTGCGCTTCTATCTGAATCTGAACTTAGAGTATTTGATGCCACAATTGAGCTAATCTTAGATAAGGTAGATAATGTTTTTGAATGCACTACTAGTAAACTTATCTTGAATTGCTTTGATTGGAAAATTTTCATGTAATTCGTGATCGTACTTTGTAGTTTATGACGACTTTCTTCATTTTCCTGATTCAAAATGCTTTATATTATTTTTTTGTTAGATGATGCGGTGTAATGATAACTGTTTCACATCTTTAGAATCATGAGTGGGTCCTTAAAACACCTTTACATGCAGTACATTTTGATCAGCTATTGCAAGTATTTCATTCTCTTGTTTATCCTGTTTAGAGAGTCTTCTGATTCACAAATATTCATATTCTTTGTTATGCAGGGGTGCAGCTTGGTGAATGCATTAAAACTTTAATCCATGCCGATTACCCTGAACAGTGGCCTAGCCTTCTTCACTGGATAACATGCAACTTACAATTACAAGACCAACAAGTACATGGAGCTCTCTATGTGCTAAGGATTCTTTCCAGGAAATATGAGTAAGTAAAATCTCTTTTGTTATACGTGGATTCTGGAACCAGCTCCTTCTATAATCATTATATTTCGTGCATACACAAATCAAATGCTATTACCAATATTTCACAAAAGCTTTTCTAAAACTCGCTTAGAAACTTTATGAAGGGTAATCACTTCTAGAGAGAGCAAGTTGGTGAAGTTGCTACTCAACTTGTGAAGTTTCTAAAAAGCTTTACGTGCATGCATATTGTATATAATTGAGGCACATTCATTGGTTGGGAAGTTGGTGAAGTTGCTACTCAACTTGTGTGAGTGTAGTTTTCTAATTTTCATATACAATTGGCAGATATATAAATGCTAATCATGTTTATGGTTTTGATTTCTGCTTATATTTGTGTCATTTGTCTCCAGCATTCATTCATGCCTTGTGCTTCAGTCCAAATAGGTACTGGCTCCGTGTTGCCACTCAAGAGAGTGTGAAGATATGGGATATGGAGACTGGAGAGCAAGTCTATTGTTCAGGATCTGAAGCCAACTGATGCCCCTTAGCCAACTTCATCCAAAAAACAGGTATATTCAATCACCAACCTCATTTTCTTAGTTTATATAACTGCTTATTTATACCCTGCAATTCTTAAATAATCTCATTATGCCTGATATTCATCAAATTAGAAAATAGAAATATCAAATCGTTAGTCATTCTTTGGGAATTATTCAATTTCTTTAGATGATCAATTTTTTCCTCTTTGCTACAGAGGTTTGGCCTTCCTCAAGGAATGTAAATGGATTGACACGGAGCATCATCAGGCCCAAGTTCATATTTTGTCAAGAACATCCTGAGATTAGAAATTCCATTATTTGTTAAAACTTGAATTTGATGGATAAGGAGGAACCTCCTGTTATCAAGTCACCTTTCTCTGTTATCCTTCTGCGTCTTCTTCATCTTTTCTATGTAAAAAAGCTGAGGATGTTTTAATTTGATCAAAGGAATTGATGAATGCATTGTGATTTTGTCTCAATTAAGAGTGTGATTAATCTTGAGCATCATTATTTTTTTTTTAGAATTAGGTATTTGCCCCAACGGTTATAACCGTTGGGGCTCAGTAAGGCCCCAACGGTTCCAACCGTTGGGGCATTTTTTAATTTTTTAAAATTAAAAAAAATAAAAAATATTTGCCTATATATATATGTGTGTGTGTGTGTGTGTGTATATATATAGGGAGAGGTTCTAATAAAAACCTAGAGAACTAAAAACCAATCCTAACCCTCCAATCTATCTAATCCAATGGCCTACATTTCAATGGCAGAATTATAAATATAGACAAATTTAATACACATCAGTAATGTGAAAATGGTAAAATTGGAATAATTTACTACATTAATGGTGGCTGGCAACATTGGAAACCAAAAATACAACACGTGGAACAATTCACTACATTAATGGTGGCTGGCAACATTAATACTTCTCTATTGAGTTCTCCATTTCCCCATTTCTCTCTCTAACTCACTTCCTGCTCTCTGTAACTCACTTTCATATTCTATCAAGCTTTGATCTTCCATCTTCGCATGAAGAACACAGCAACAATTCATTAAAAATCATCCTAACCATCCAAGCTTTCGCTGGAGTGAATTTGGATTCACTCCAGTGAATCTGGATTATATTGAAGCTCGATTCATTGGAGTGAATCCAGATTCACTGAATTGAATCCAGATTTAGTGAACTGAAACTTGTTATCAAACAATAGCAAATCTGCAAAAATAAAAAACAAAAAGAATAAGAAACTTATGGTAAAAAACAAGATATAAAATTTTAAACCATGATAAGATTTCACATTTTACAGCAAAAAGTTACGATTTTTATGGTAAAAAACAAACACCTCACATAACTAAATCTGGATTCACTGCAGTGAATCTAGATTCACTCATGAGTTTATTTCTTCGAAATTACAGCACATGCATTTATTTCTTCAATAATTCATTAAAAACCATCCTAACCATCCAAGCTTTCGCTGGAGTGAATCTGGATTCACTCCATTGATCTGGATTATATTGAAGAATAAGAAACTTATGGTAAAAAACAAGCTATAAAATTTTAAACAAAAAGAATAAGAAATTTATGGTAAAAAACAAGCTATAAAATTTTAAACCATGAAAAGATTTCATCTTTTACAACAAAAAATTACGATTTTATGGTAAAAAACAAACACCTCACATACTGAATCTGGATTCACTGCTGTGAATCGAGATTCACTGCAGTGAATCTAGATTCACTTATGCGTGTCTTCGTTTTTCAACTGGTTTCTTCCAAAAACAAAAAACTTTTCAGACTAAAATGTGAAATATTTCACCTTTTACAACAAAAAGCTACGATCTTTAAGGTTAAAACTAAAACTTTTAGACGAAAAAGCAAACAAATTTTATAAACTTACCATTAAAGCGTCAAAATAATTTAACAGCCCACTGAATCATGAAGACGAAGGTTGAAGAAGACCGTGAAGACGAAGCGTCAAAATAATTTCATAAACCATGAAGACGAATGTTGAAGAAGAGAGAGTTACTGTGATTTTGGAGAGAGAGAGGTTGAAGAAGACGAAGGTTGAAGAAGAGAGATGTTGAAGACAGAGAGAGTTGCTGTGATTTTGGAGAGAGAGAAAGTTGCATGGGGAAATGGAGAACTCAACAGAGAAGTATTAATTACCTCTCTTTAGTGGGCTGTTTATTTTACCTAATTACCCTTATGCAGCTTTAATCTCAGCCATTGGATGAATCTAGATCCAATGGAGATGATTAGTTTTTATTTTTAGGATAGCGAGGTTTTTATTTGAACCTCTCCCTATATATATATATATAGACACACACACTTTTAAACTTAAATTCTGCTAAAAGTAAGTAAGTCTTTTCTTTGTGTATTATCTTCTATTACGAGTTGCATTTGCTTTCCAATTTATTGCTATGCACCGGTCATAATAAGATTTTGGATGGAAACAGAGAGTGTTGAGATTCTAATAAAAACATCATTAGCCTAAAAACTAAAAACCTATTTATTGTACTAAATGCCATTAAAGAGTGCAATAAATGTCATTATTATATTGAGTGCAATAAATAGTGGCAACAAACAACCAATGAATCCAGATTTACTGGATTGAATCCAGATTCAATCCAGCGAATCCAGTTTCACCTCACATAACTGAATCTGGATTCACTACAGTGAATCTCGATTCACTCCAGTGAATCTGGATTCACTATAGTGAATCTGGATTCACTCATATATAGGGTGGGGATTTCCAGTTGAAAAAACGAAGACACATATGAGTGAATCTCGATTCAGTGCAGTGAATCCAGATTCTGTTACGTGAGGTGTTTGTTTTTTGAAGAATAATAACATTTATTGCAGTGAATCCAGATTCAGTTATGTGAGGTGTTTGTTTTTTGAAGAATAATAACATTTATTGCAGTGAATCCAGATTCAGTTATGTGAGGTGTTTGTTTTTTGAAGAATAATGACATTTATTGCACTCTTTAATGGCAGACAAATTTATTGCACTCTTTAATAATGGTATTTATTGCCATTACTGAATCTGGATTCACTGCAATATAAGCTCTAATCTCAACCATTGGATGAGATAGATCCAATGACCCACAATGGTTTTTAGTTTTTAGGCTAAGGAGGTTTTTATTAGAACATCACCCTATATATATATAAATTTATATATATTATATATATATATATATATATATATATATATATATATATATATTATATATATATATATATATATATATATATGAAAAAATAAAGAAACTTGGTACCAAGTTCTCAACGGCCTTGCTAATGATGTGATTAATCTGGTCCACACATCAAACTTGTGAGGGGGTAGAGGTAAATTACAAAAGAACACATTGTTTTAAAAATATATATATCCCCCTCTCTTTCCCCTCATTCACTGCTCTATCTCTCTCTTCTCTCTCTCCCCTTCATTCATTTTGCTCCTCCCCTTCCAAACTCGCCGTCGCCCGTGGCGCACACGCCACAGCTACGACCCCACCACACGCTGCGATCCCACCGTTTGGAAGGAGAGCGTTGCAGGTTGGAGGGGAAGGCGGTGGCAACGGCGGTGTTGGAAGGGAGGGCGCAGGGGGCGGGGGATGGATGGGAGAGGCGGTGGCGGGGTCGCAGCGGCAACGAAGTTCGTGACCGGAAGGAGGTTCGCGGCGACGACAGGATACCGACCACGGGAGGCGGAGTAACAACCATGACAGCTAGTTTGGAAGGGAGCACACGAGATGAGAAGGGGGAAGGGGAGAGGCGGGGGGTGTGGGGGGGGAGGGAAATTTTTAAAAGTAGGATTTTTTTTTTCAAATTTACATCAATCCCTCCAAGTTTGATTTGTGGACCATATTAGCCCACATCACTACTAAGACCCATTGAGAAACTTGGTACCAAGTTTCTCTATTTTTCTCTCTATATATATACACTTGCACTTGAGCTACACGGCATAAATAATTTAATTAATCCTCAAGATAAGAGAATTCTGTAGTATACCTCAATGTTTAATTCAATAAAGAATCATGTTCTAAATCTTTATTCAACAAGTATTTCTACAAGAAAATCTCCAACTAGCATTCCTGCAATTGCGTCTTTTCTTATCGCCAATCATATTAGTGTTGGATAAAAATGGTAACTCCAACAATTTCTTTTGTCCTGCTCAATTAATGTCTATTATTTCTTTAATTTGAATTAGTCACTTCAACGATCTTTCATGTATATGGGTATCCAAAGTATGAATTAGATGGATGCTTGTAGTCCCAACCATTGTTGTTAGTCTCGACACCGGTAAGGAAAATGGTAATTTATAACAAAGTTTTCATGTTGTTTATTCCTAGTGCAATGCTTCTTCCCCTATGTTGCAGGCCCGGCTATGGAGCTGTGCGGGCTAATCCACCACACAGGGACCCTAAAATTAAGGGCCCCAATTTTTTTAAAAAAATTATATTTATATGTATATATGTTATTATTGTAATATCAAAAGGATAAGGAATTTAAAGAGGCAGAATTGACATTGATATTGGCAAAAAAAGGTAACAACATTAATTAATAGGCCCTCTACCTACCTATCTCCAGCCATTTCTTCACGTGACATCGCTTTCATCCTCTTTCTTCTCTACGAACTGAACTACCTACCTATCTCCAGCCATTTCTTCACGTGACATCGCTTTCATCCTCTTTCTTCTCTACGAACTGAACGACTCGGACCCTCCATCTTCTCTCATCACGTGACATCGCTTTCATCCTCTTTCTTCTCTACGAACTGAACGACTCGGACCCTCCATCTTCTCTCATCTCTCCGTTCGCTGCGGACTGCGATTCTACAAATCAATCCCCCGATCGGCCAATCCATCATCCTCCGATCCATCATCCTACGATCAGATCGGCCAATCAGATCACTAGTTTGTGAATTCGTGTGTATTTTCTCTAGTAAAAAGGGAAGCAATCTTCATATCAGATCAGGTAATTATTTTTCCTATTTTAACTTCCAGTTCGCTATGTATTTTCGTTGTGGTATTTAGGTTGTTAATAAATTATATATACACCTCTATTTGAACTATTTTCTTTCTTTTTCTTATGAATTCTTTCTTTCATTTTACTGGTGGGACCGTGGGAAGAGGAAAGTCAACTATCTTTTGCAGACTACTCGAGTACCTCTTCCACTTGATTTAAGGTTTCAAATTAGGTTGTATTGTTCCAAATCTTTTGACTTCTTTCAATTTGATTGTAATATTATTATTTTATTATAGAAATGCCTTGAAGAAAGTATCCTTCTAGATATGATAAACGCAAGAAAAAAATTAAACAATTTATCCAAACACAAAGTGGAGCGCTTGATAAATTCGTTGTTAGAGAAACAAAAGATTTAGTTGAAAATTCAATTAAAAATGATAACATTAATGATTTGGGCCTGAATGAGTATGAGAATAAAAATATTGATGATCAAAGTAAAAATAACATTGATAATGAAAATGAGAATCAGAATGAAAATGAGAATCATAATAAAAATTATAATTATAATTATAATTATAATGAAAATGAGAATCATAATGAAAATGAAAATAAAAGTAAAAATGAGAATCAAAATCAGAATAAAATTGATATTGATAATGAAAATAAAAATAAAAAAGAAAATATTTTAGGCAATGAACAACCTAATCAGTCCATGCTCATGAATTTGAATATTTATGATCCAAGAACATGGGATAGGTTGGACACAAAGTCTAGAGATATATTAGTAAAAAATGGCCCTATAATAGATCTATTAGTCAAAAAAGGTCCTAAAGATAAATTAGGAAGATGTTTTTCTTCGGTATTTTACAGTAGATATTTATCAAATGGAGAGAAATGTGATGGAGAATGGTTAATTTATTCAAAGGATATCGATAAAGTATCCTATTTTTGCTGTAAATTGTTTGAAAATGGTTTTAAGAAAAGATTTTTAATAAATGAAGGATTTAATGATTGGATACATCTTAGTGCTAGGCTTAAAGAACACGAAACAACTAATGAGCATATTATTAACATGAGTACTTGGCTTGATTTACACATAAGATTAAAGAAAAATAAAACAATCGATAAAAATATTCAAGAGAAAATTAATAAAGAGAAGGAACATAGGAAGAAAGTATTACAAAGAAGAATAATTTATGTTGTTAAATATCTTGCTAAACATAACTTGGCATTTCGAGGAACAAATGAGAGAATTTATCAAAATATGCCTAATTAAAATGATTATAGAATGAGATCCGGTAATGCAAGAACATGTTTGATATATTGACCATGGTGAAATTCATTACCATTATCTTGTTCATAGCATTCAAAATGAATTGATAAGTATGTTAGCTTCTAAAATCAAATGTGCAATAGTTCAAAAAATTAATTAAGCTAAATATTTTTCAGTAATACTTGATTTTACTCCGGATGCAAGTCACCAAGAACAAATGACTTTAATATTATGATGTGTTGATATTTCTACAAGACCGATAAAAATAGAAGAATTTTTTGTAGAATTTTTAAAAATAAATGATACATCTGGACAAGGACTTTTTGAAGAATTGAAAAATATGCTAAAAATGATTAATCTTGATATTGATAATGTATGAGGTCAAGGGTATGATAATGGGTCTAATATGAAAGGGAGACACCAATGTGTATAAAAAAATTAATTGATATAAATCCTAGAGCATTATACACGCCTTATGGTTATCATAGTCTTAATTTAACACTTTGTGATATGGAAAATTGTTGTGGTAAAGCAAAAGACTTTTTTGGTGTGATACAATACATTTATACATTATTTTCTCACTCAACAAAGCGATGGTAAATTTTGATAAATAATGTAAAAGGTTTAACTGTGAAGTCATTTCGGCTACATGTTGGGAAAGCCATATTGAAAATGTTAAAGCAATTAGATTCCAAACGCTTAAAATAAGAGAATCACTACTTCAGTTAGCAGAAACTGATAATGACTCCAAAATAAGGAGTGAAGCAGATTCTTTAGCAACACATGGAATTGAAAATTTTGAATTTTTATTAAAAGTATGATTATTTGGTATGATATATTATTTGCTGTTAACTTAATTAGCAAATCTTTACAATCTAAAGACATGCTTATTGATATTGCTATAGATCAAGTAAAAGGATTGATTACGTTTTTTGAGGATTATAGAGAAGTTGGGCTCACACAAGCTATGTCAATTGCTAAAGAAATTGCTACTGAAATGGAAATTGATTCTGTATTTCAAGTAAAACGCCAAATCCGTAGAAAAAGATAATTTGATGAGAATATTAATGAGGAGACAACACAATCAGCTGAAGAATTTTTTAGAATCAATTATTTTTTGTATATTGTAGATCAAGCTATTGGTTCACTAAAGAAAAGGTTTGAGCAATATAAAGCATATGAAGATATTTTTGGATTTTTGTTTGGTTCAGAAAAGTTAAATTCATTAGATGATAATAATTTGAAAGCATGCTGTGATAATCTTGAAATTGTTCTAAAATATAAAACATTTTCTGATCTTGATGGGAAAGATTTATTTGGAGAACTAAAAATCTTATGAAATATATTACCAAAAGAAACAAAGATGGCTATCGATATACTGAATTTCTTTAAAATACGAAATTATTTTTCAAATGCATGTATTTCTTATAGAATATTATTGACTATACCTGTTACAGTCGCATTTGCAGAAAGAAGTTTTTTAAAATTAAAAATATTAAAATATTATCTGAGATCGACTATGTCACAAAAAAGACTAAATGGACTAGCTTTGATATCCATTGAAAATGATTTTATAGATAAAATTGATGTTAAAGGCTTAATTAGTGATTTTGTAGCTAAAAATGCAAGGAGGACAAATTTTCAATGATACTTTTTGATGCTAAAGGCTTCGATATCTCTTATGAAGGTAAGCACAGATACAAGAGGAACATAATATGCAAGTTTCTTATTGTGGACTATTTGCTCTATTGGAAAGCTTTATTAAGGTGGGATTACATGCATTTATCTGATCAGTAACATTTTATTCAGGTGATCGAAGAGATGAAGAATGGGCAATAGCACTTGAAAAGTATGTTAAAGACTATCCAGATGCAAAAAATCAGGTAATATTTTAATGTCTGATCAGTAATATTTTGTTCCCTAGCATTTTAGGGATTCAAATTGGAAATAAATTTATTGATATTTTGTATATAGAGAAGGGTCATGTGTTTACTTTTCGCACATGGCCCATAAAATCTCAGAACCGGCCCTGCTATGTTGCCTATCGGTACTAGTGGAGTAGGATTGACCTCACAGAACCCATGGGTGTAACCTTTCGTTCAACACTAAAATCGACAATTAAAAAGTATTTTGAGACCGTACCAATCAAGAATACACGACAGGAAAAATTGATCTATCTCCAAACTTCACTATCCAGTAGCTTTATTTCTATAAGGTCTTTTCTCATGAGACTGAAGTGAGGGCTAAAAAACAAAAGAAAGAAAAATCAAATCACACCATCTTTATAATAGGTAAATTCCTTTTTTTTACTCGCGAAGTTATCATAATTAGTTTGTAATAAAATATTAGCTATAATTAGAGAGGTCTTTTCAATAAAATTTCTATTTGTCCAAGACATAGGCAGCAGAATTTGCAAGGACGAATAAATTAATATACTTTCTGTCCACTGTCATAGCATATTGTGTTTTTCAAACTTGGCGACTTCTCTCGTCACCGTACAAAACTATAGGCACACGTCTCTAGATTCATAATGATAATAACGCCAGTCCCATAAAAGATAATATCCTAATTAATCTAATTAGTCCTTAATTGGCCTAGCCTCAAGTCCCCCCTCCTTCCTCTCCTCCAAGGTATACGGCATGTAGGTCCCCAAAACTCGGTCCCAAACGACAAAGAACGGCTGCGAGAAATTATACTTATTTCCATACAGCTGATGGTGCACATCATGATAAGCACTGTTGTTGTCAAACAACAAGTTGAGGGGATTCCCCGGGAGCCAGAGCCCACAGTGGTCATTGATGCTCTTGATCGTCGCAAACGAGAAGAAGAAGATGCTCGTTCGAGGAGTCATGCCAGAGATCAAAAAGGAGAGCACACCGCCGACCGTATCCAGCAGTAGCCCTTCGAGTGGGTGATTGTACAGAGCACCGTAGGCGTAAGGGACGATCAAACGATGGTGATTGGAGTGGATGTGCTTGTACAAGAACTTGTTCATGTGCATGTATCGGTGCATAAAGTACTGCCACGTGTCCAATACGAACATCGCGACCATAAACTGCATGATGATCACGTGCAGCGGTGGCTGGGGATGCGTCTCAGCCTTTCCTCCCTCGATCACCTGTTAAAAGTTTTAGAAGAGTCGGATAAGATGCGTGGTTCATGATAAGAAGGTCGAAAATTTCTGAGATCTGTTGACAAATTTTTTTTTTTTTTTTACGGTGAAGAGGATGAGGGAGATGGCGATTTGCATGGCTTGCTGAACGAGAACACCTTTGACGACGGTGTACTTAGAGACAATGTTCTTCTTGTCTTCATCTCCCCTGGGGTGCAGGCGATAGTTGTCGAGCGAGCTGAGTAGAACATAGACACCCGAGTAGACCCAGTATACTGCAATCGGAACGAAAGTGCTAAGCAACTCATCTGACACGTCAAGCCCCATCGTGCGGTGTTTTTCAAATTTCTTGAAATCGAGGCAAACAAGAAGAAATAATCTCTGTTTGATCGTCTGGCTGTGTATCGACGCCTGAATTTATAGGGGAGATAGCAACCTTAACCAGGTGCAGTGAAGTCCACAGAGATGGGCCACACCAGGAAGGAACTTTGTGAGGTTGCCATGTTCAATTTTCAAAGGATTTACGGGACCAGTTGTTGACTGCTGTCTCTCTCGTAGAATTGAATAAATTTCCAACATTGGACTAGCAGATGAGACTCCTCGACCGAGAAAATTGGTTAGGGGGGGAGGGGGGGTTTGCTTTTCATTACAGCATCTCCAACCATGCCCGTCAAAGTCCACCCTCCAAATTGGAATATTCTAGGAATATTCCAATTTGGAGGGTCTCCAAATGTTTTCCTTTTTATTTTTTTTAAAAAAAATCATATAAATTAATAATATTGGAGATAGTTTACATTAATAATTTATTTGAAAAAATTATAACATTATAAAGTTGTCGATGAGAGCTTTAAAATGAACCCAATATTAATAATGCACTACAACATAAATAAAAAGCTTCTCATGGAAAGGAGCGGGCTGGTCTGAAGGCGTATGTTAGTGGGCGATCTAGCTGCTAACATACGCTCACGCTTAGATTTCAATGGTGAGGAAGAAGAAGGGGAGGCAACTTCTTAGTATTGGATTGCGATCCTCAAGATCATCGCAAGCTGAGGAGGATCTTATTGATACAACTTTCTTGGAAGATGATGAAGATATCATGGGTTCAACAGGTCCGAAAGGGGAGAGGAAGAAGAAATTGATGGAGGAAATCATCAGATCTGCTGATTTCTTGTCGAAATCTCATCAATCTTCACCTAACCCTCAACATGAAGGAATTCAAGCTCAACAACTCAGCAATGGTGATGGTGTCAGCAGTTCTTCTAGGGCTAGCTGGGCTGATGAGGTCGATCTTGAGGTGACCTCTTTTCCTTTACTCCAGAAATCTTCTAGTTAGGGCTAGCTGGGCTGATGAGGTCGATCTTGAGGTGACCTCTTTTCCTTTACTCCAGAAATCTTCTAGTGTTCTTGGTTCAGATCCAGACATTTCTAAATTGATTTCATCTCCAAATACTGTTCCATTGACGGATAAAGGTAAATCTGTTGGAAATAGAGATGTTGAATTGGAAGCTGGGAACTCTGTTAATGATTCCCTTTCTAAAGATGCTTTTAATGCTTCCCTACCTAAAGAATCTGAGAATTCAATTCTGAAATCAAGAGAGACTGAGAAATCTCTTGATGATGGAATGCATAAGGAGAGGAGGAACACAGAGCCAAGAAAATCTTTTGTCAGTTTGTTTGCTGATAATAGAAAATTAAGCAATGGTTTATCTTTAAAATTCATGCCATCTTCGGTGCCAAACTCTACCTCATTTACAGTTGATGAATGGAAGGAAGGGGAGGATTTATGGAGTAATGCATTAATTGGGCATGTTATTGGTTTGAACGTCAAATTTAAATCCATGGAGTCCTATATTAGCAAATTATGGAGCAATTTCTCTATTCCGAAAGTCTCGTTAATCAAGCAAGGCCTCTTTCTTTTTGATTTTCAATCTGAAAAACATATGAAGGATATTTTTGAGGCAGGCCCCTGGTTTTTTGGATCTAGGCCTTTAGTGTTAAAACCTTGGAGTATTGATACTGATTTGGACAAAATACAGGACTTCTCTTATCCTCTGTGGGTTCAATTTCCAAACCTAAAGCTTAACCTCTGGAGTTCAACTGGTATAAGTAAAGTTGCCAGTCTCATTGGCAAACCTATTGCAACAGATAAGCTTACTGCCACAAGGCAAAGACTGAGCTATGCTAGAGTACTTTTGGAAGTGAATCTTCCCCTCAATGAGCCTCTTCCTGACCATCTTGTCATTCATGATCCTGATGGTAGAAGGCATGTTCAGGAGGTGATCTATGAATTTAAACCAAGGTGGTGCACACTTTGTAGTAAAGTGGGTCATGAGACTGGCCAGTGTAGGAGAAATGCAAGAAAAATCTGGGTACCTGTCAACAGGCACAATGCACAAGTTCCTGATGCTAATAAAGTGCAACATGCTGATGTTGAGACTAATTCCGAACAAGTGCAATCTAATAATGCACAGGACAAACTTGCAAAAGATGTTCTGGCAGATATCTCTGTGGTAAATGTCCCTGGTACTGGTGCACATAAATCAAAACATGCACAGGATGGTCCAAAACATGCACAAACTCAGCTTGGGGAGGGGCTTGCTGGTTCTGAGACAGTAACTTCTGGTTTGGCTAAACAATTTGTTCAACAAGGAGAGGCACATGTTTTTCAGTCTTCTCCTACTGTCAATGTCACTGGATTTACAAGTGTTGCTAAAACTGCCAGAAAAATCCAACCTAATGTGCCTGGTAATACAATCCATAATTCACACTTCTCAGTCTTGGCTCATCAGGTCCTTGATTTAGACCCCTATAGTATTGATAGGGGTGGAGTATATCAATAAATGCATCTTGCAATATGGAACATCTGAGGATTTAATAAATCCTCTAAGCATTTGGTTGTTAAGAAATTCATCCAGGCCTATAAAATTTCTTTTTTAGCTCTTTTAGAAACCAAAGTGGCTGATGAGAAAATGAAGATAATAGCTACCCTATAAAATTTCTTTTTTAGCTCTTTTAGAAACCAAAGTGGCTGATGAGAAAATGAAGATAATAGCTACTAAAATTGCAAAGGATTGGCAATCTTTTAGAAACCAAAGTGGCTGATGAGAAAATGAAGATAATAGCTACTAAAATTGCAAAGGATTGGCAATGGACCTCTAATGTGCAGCATACTGCAAACAAAGCCAGAATTTGGGTTTTATGGGATAGCAATTATATTTCTGTCCAGAACATAAATAGTTCTGAACAATTCATATCTTTCAAAGTGGAATCTAAAGATGGAAAGCTAGCCTGTTTTTTTACAGTAGTTTATGCTCTTAATCAAATGGAGGGTAGGAGGGATCTTTGGCAGGATCTTTTGGCTTTTAAAAGGACTGTATCAGGCCCTTGGTTAGTTGGAGGTGATTTCAATGCTATCCTTAATGGTGAGGAGAAAATGGGAGGTGCACAAGTATCAGATGCAGAAATAGAGGATTTTCAAAATTTCATAGTTTCAAACCATCTCAAGCACATTAAATCCACAGGTTGTTTTTTTACTTGGAGCAATAAACAGGATGCACATACAAGAATCTGGTGCAGATTGGATAGAATGCTAGTGAATGAAGACTGGATTTTTCAATATACATCCAGTCAGACAGAATACTTAATGCCTCTTTGTTCTGATCACTCTCCAGGTCTAATAACAATCAGTGATGAGCAAAATGAAGGTAAGAGACCATTTAAATTCTTTGCTATGTGGGCTAAGCATCCTGATTTCAGTGATGAGCAAAATGAAGGTAAGAGACCATTTAAATTCTTTGCTATGTGGGCTAAGCATCCTGATTTCATGTCAACTGTCAGAGCAGTTTGGGAACAACAGGTACAGGGCTATAATATGTACAGGTTCTATATCAAGCTCAAAAAACTAAAACTTGTTCTCAGAGATCTGAATAAGAGGCACTTTATGAATATCAGTGAGTAAGTTACTAGAGCTAAATTTGAGTTGTATGAAGTACAGTCTCAACTAAGTTCTGACCTGTTCAACTCAGATCTGATTTCAAAGGAAAAAGAATGCATCAAGAAGTACACACACTTATTGGATTGTGAAAATTCTTTTTACAGACAAAAAACCAATATCAGTTGGGGATTGCATGGGGATAAGAGCACGCAACACTTTCATTCTGTTATGAAAAATAAAAGGCATCATAATAAGGTGTTGTCTTTAATTTCTCAAAATGGCACCAGGATCTCTGATCAGCAAAGCATCATCTCAGAGTTTGTTGAGTATTACAAGAATCTGCTTGGATCTTCAGGTCTCACAACAGCACCTAATCCTGAGGTTATCATTCAAGGGCCAATCCTCTCTCCTATCCACCGTATTGAGTTGAGCAAGCCTGTTACTAGGGATGAGATCAGACATGCAGTATTGACAATGCCTGATGGCAAAGCTCCAGGCCCAGATGGTTTTAGTGCCTCCTTCTTTAAATCTGCTTGGAATGTGATCAAAGAAGACTTGTTTATGGCTATCGAGGAATTCTTTGTGTCAGGTAAGTTCCTGGGCACTTTAAATACTACCTCAATAACTTTGGTGCCAAAGATCCTCAGTCCAAATTCAGCTTCAGACTTCAGGCCTATAGCTTGTTGCAATGTTATTTACAAAATAATCACTAAGATCATTGCAAACAGGATACAAAAAATCATGGGTTATTTGATTAATGATGCCCAAAGTGCCTTTGTTAAGGGGAGACTCATCTCAAGTAATTTTCTTTTAGCCCATGAATTAATCAAACACTATGGAAGGAAACATATCTCTCCGAGAGCTATTATTAATGTGGATCTTAGAAAGGCATTTGATACAATTAATTAGGGCTTCATCAAAACTATGCTAGAGGGTATGGGCTTTCCAGAAATTATGGTTGGCTGGATCTGGGAGTGCATCACCACCCCAAAGTTCTCTTTATCTCTAAATGGTGTTCTACATGGCTACTTTAATGGAGCAAGGGGGCTGAGACAGGGAGATCCATTATCTCCCTATCTTTTTGTTCTAGGCATGGAGTACTTGTCCAGGAGATTATCCATGCTTAAGGATGATAATTTGTTTAAATTCCATCCAAAGTGTTCTAGACTGAAGCTAACCCATCTGATATTTGCTGATGATTTATTGCTGTTTAGCAAGGCTGATTTAAGTTCAATTACAAAGCTACAAGCATGTCTACAAGAATTCTGTCAGGTCTCGGGCTTGGAAGCTAATATTGGCAAGTGCTCAGTCTATCTGGGTGGTGTTTATGACATCTTAAGAGCTCAAATATGCACGTTCCTGGGCTTTTCGGAGGGGACTCTGCCAATGAAATACTTGGGTCTGCCATTAACAACAAGGAAGCTATCCCATCTTGAATGCTCCCCTCTAATCAGTAAAATAGCTGATCAGTTTCTCAGTTGGCAGCAAAATAGGAAGTTATCTTATGCTGGGAGAATTCAACTGATTAAATCAGTTATTCTTGGGGTTCAAACATTTTGGGTTAGCAGCTATATCTTGCCGATAAAAGTCCTTGAAAAAATTGACAAGCTGTGTTCATCTTTCCTATGGGGTCAGAAAATACATCTAATCTCTTGGCATACAGTTTGTCTGGAAAAGAAACAGGGAGGATTAGGTCTTTTTTCGGCTAAGACATGGAATCTTGCTGCGGCTGTAAAACTCCTGTGGATGATTCACCAAAATAAGGACTTGCTTTGGATCAAATGGATACATGGTCACTATCTACAACGTTCAAACATTTGGCAAGTTCAGCATAGGGAGGTGGATTCTTGGATGTGGAAGCAAATTCTCAAGGTTAGAAATATGCTGATTTCTAAATTTGGCAATTCTACAAGCTTGATGAACACTTTGGAAGGCTGCTGTGAAAATGGAAATATTCAGATAAGACTGATTTACAATGCTCTGTCTCAGCCGATTAATTCAGTTGATTGGGCATATACTACATGGGGGAAATTAAACTACCCTAAGCATTCTTTCACCCTCTGGCTTGTTAATCATTCTAGACTCCTCACTCAGGAAAGATTGTGTCGGTTCAGAATGCTAGAAACCAACTGCTGTGTCATGTGCTCTAACCAGTTGGAAAATTGCAAACACTTATTTTTTGATTGCCAATACTCGGCTGAAGTATGGAATAAAGTAATGGACTGGATTGGTTTCACTTGGAGAACATGTGATTGGAACTTACTTATCCACTGGTACACCTGCAACTTGAGAGGCAAGGGTTTTAAGAAGGACCTGAAGAGAATGGTTCTCTCTGCTACTGTATATACCATTTGGCAAGAGAGAAATGCCAGGATTTTTCAAGAGAGAGCTAGGGGGACTGATGAGCTTCTTCGAGTAATAAAACTCTCCATTTACTCTAAACTTTTGAATGATAATATTCCTGTATATATGAAGGAAACTGTAGAGAGACTGTAATGTCTGTAGTGAGGCTGTAGTGTCTGTTTTTGTTCACCAGGTAAGTCTTAACCTGGTTCATTGATGTACTATAATTTCTCAAGATGAATGAAAAATTTAATTCGTTGATAATAAAAAAAATGCACTACAACATATTAAAAAAAATAAAATCTGAAATAACAGTGACAAAGCATACATCGATAAAATTGTAATTTAAATATTATAATTTATGCTTGTATTTTCTTATGGGGCAAGTTAAATAAATCCCTGTATTTAATATTTCATGTCTGATACTTGTTCATTTAATTTAAAAATTAATAACTTTATAATAATACTAAAATAAATTAATCTTGGTTTCATTTTAAAGATCTTAACGAGACTTTTCCAAATATATAATGATTTCAAATATTAGATTAATAATTTTTTAACTATATTTATTTGAAATTAAACATCTAATTTAAATTACTAAGAATGATGGTAAAATGGTAATTTTTAATAAATTAAATAGTTAAAAGTGGCAAAGTTATAATTAATGAAACATGAATAGTATTTGGAGAGACTCTCCAAATATTCTCTTCACCCTCAAAATTTGGAGGGTCAGATTTGGAGATCTCCAAATTTGGAGAGTGGTGAAAGAGGTTCCACTCTCCAAATTTGGAGATTTTGCCTTTTTAGAGGGTGGTTGGAGATGGCCTTGGAAATTTGTAATCCTTCATAGGAAACAAAAATGTCTGTGGGTCACCTGGTTAACCAATCTGCATACGTACATATGTAGCTGACGATAATAGCATACCATATACTTAGAAGTATTATACAAATAGAAATAAAGGGCAAATAAACTTAACAATAAGTAACCTGGTCACGGTTCTTCCTTCCTTTGAAGTACAAGGTAAACGCTTTGACGATTTTCCAATGTAGGAAAGAAAGTTACTCTCAATAACGCACAAAGGATTGATAGCTATATCATACATTTGATGTTAGTGGTAATCCAAGAAAATAGTCTATTTAACATTTTCAAATGTTCTTAGCATTGACTTTGAACCGTGACACACTAACAATCAAATCTTGTGTAAGATAATACCATAATCCTGTATAGGATTTTTTAAAGTAGAATTTGACATCGATCATGTACAAGATGACATGAGCTAAGAGGCTGTACCATTAACTCTTGAATCTTAGTTGTAAAGTTGTTTCCCAGTCATTAATGGATCTCTCCTCAAAGGGAAAATTTACAAAATAGTCCGTTTTTGTTAATTATTTAGCAAAATAGACCGTTTTACTAAATAATTAGCAAAATAAACATCTTTTGAAAAAAGAGATCGATTTTGAAAAACAAGACTCAGAAGACATACGGGATTACTAGTCCCGTATGTTTAGAGCCAACTTAATCACGGATTAGTGACTCAGAAAACATACGGGACTAGTAGTCCCGTATGTAGTCCCGTATGTTTTCTGAGTTCATCTCAATTTTTGTGAAATTTTCTGAGTTCACTAATCCATGATTAAAACATACGGGACTACTAGTCTCGTATGTTTTCTGAGCTGTTTTGCAAAATAGACATCTTTTTGGCCTGTTGGCCAAAAAGATGTCTATTTTGCTAATTATTTAGCAAAACGGTCTATTTTGCTAAATAATTAGCAAAAATAGACTATTTTGTAAATTTCCCCTCCTCAAACTGGGAACCAAATCCAACAACCTGACTTTAATCATTCAATTTCACCCTATTAATTCCAACTCCTCTTAAGTTTTAGTGAAGACTTACAGACTCCTGTAACCATTTACACACCCAACAGATGGGCAGTTCTACTCGAGATGGAGAGAAGTCACAGCAGAATTCAGTCACGCTTCATATCCCCAAATGATAAATGAATCCATGACCAACAAATAATATCTAAGGAGGAAATAGATTTCAACAAAGAAGAACTCACAAGCTTTGAGCTTATTCCCTCCTCTCTGTCAAGGTGAATATTCATCGCCCTCTTCCTGTTCTCCAACGAAACCTCCTCTCTGTCAAGGTGAATATTCATCGCCCTCTTCCTGTTCTCCAACGAAACCTCCTCTCTGTCAAGGTGAATATTCATCGCCCTCTTCCTGTTCTCCAACGAAACCTCCTCTCTGTCAAGGTGAATATTCATCGCCCTCTTCCTGTTCTCCAACGAAACCTCCTCTCTGTCAAGGTGAATATTCATCGCCCTCTTCCTGTTCTCCAACGAAACCTCCTCTCTGTCAAGGTGAATATTCATCGCCCTCTTCCTGTTCTCCAACGAAACCTCCTCTCTGTCAAGGTGAATATTCATCGCCCTCTTCCTGTTCTCCAACGAAACCTCCTCTCTGTCAAGGTGAATATTCATCGCCCTCTTCCTGTTCTCCAACGAAACCTCCTCTCTGTCAAGGTGAATATTCATCGCCCTCTTCCTGTTCTCCAACGAAACCTCCTCTCTGTCAAGGTGAATATTCATTGCCCTCTTCCTGTTCTCCAACGAAACCTCCTCTCTCCCAAGTCCCAAACTAAAAAGATTAATGAAAAGGGTACCTAGTTGTAATTATATATATTTTTTGGAATGCGATCTCAAGATCAAAGAATTTTGATTTTGGGAGGGCCAAAAAATTTTGACTTCTTCGGCCTTCCATCGTTTGAATCTGACTTAAACCAAACTTCATGTACTCGACCGTACGTAGTACTATAAAAGAGTGGGAGCTTGCTCAGCATCAAACTTCTAAAAAATAAAAAAAACCATTTGACAAGAAAGAAATTTCTCAAGATCAGAGAGCTAAGAGAAAACTTTGGTGAATACAAAAGTATTCCCCATACATGGCAATTGAGCTCTCCGACGAAGTGTTAAGTACCTTTGTGCCCGTAGTGGTATATTGGGTATTTTCAGGGATATATGGACTTCTCGGTTACAAGGAGAATTGGAGGCTTCACACAACGAGCGAAGAAGATGAGAAGAACATCGCTTCGAAAAAACAAGTGCTCAAGGGAGTGATGTTGGATTTAAATCTAATTAAATCTATTTGTGGGCACATATGATTAATCAATGTGTATTACTATCTTTAAGGATAACCCACTTAAAGTGATCAATCAATTTGGGTTAATAGGTATTTAAATAAATCATGGGGGTTATATGTGCAGATACCAGGTTGTAATTGTAATTTGATGAGGGGCCAAATTATAAATGTACAACACCTATATATAAGGGGTTATGGTCCCTAATCTAGGGTTAACCACTCTCATTCTCTTATCCCCATCTAAAGAGATCCATAAGAGAGAAACCCTA